ACACCAGACTCATTATTGTCAAAAATTGCATAATCACATTAAATCCTGTTGCGTTTGTGCACTTATTTTCCAAAATAATATTAACGTGTGCAAATCAAGTGAGTGAGCACGGTAGTGTATGCAACCAGTTTTCTATTATTATGGAGATTTCCAGATGGAGTGCAGCTCATGCCATGTGCGATAAACTCTCTCACTGGGACCAATAAGACTGTACCTGTGTCAGCATCAAAATGACTATACACACCACAAATTCCTTCTACGGTGTGTTATTAATGAAAACTAACCGTACAGCTGCAGTGATACATTTTGGAAGACTTGATAGGACATGGGAGAAGAGGACAACAGGATTACAGTGTGACAGTGCCGGAAAATGAGGAAAAACCTATAGCATCAGAGCAGTGTACAGCCAGTCACCCTTCATCATCAACCCACAGTATCAAGGCCCCTCTCTCTACCTAAGAGTCAGAACTCTAACATTTGTTTTACAGCTCTCACAGAGATTTATGGATGAATGATAAAAACAAGCTTTAATACTATACAAACTGCTGTATAAGCGTATTATTGCTTTTAGGTGTGTTTCTTGAATAATACTTCATATTGTGTCTTGGCTTCTAATAAATTACCAAATAAAACATCCTAAAAATTCTAAATCATTCTTCAATTGAACTCTTAACTTCTCTGCTCATGCAACCTGTAGCAGGCCCTTATTTAAGTGTTTATGAACCAGTTAATGTCTCACTTTCAGGCATATAAAAAGAGGGTACACATAAGATCTTTAATTAAAGTATTTATGAGGCAACAGAAAGCTGGGATCAACTGCTTGAAAGTAGGCGCTGAAAGAAGTAAAAACAAAATGTTTGTTCATTGTTTAATTTTGCTTGAACACATTTGTCCATTTAGAAATTACATTTTCACACACAGACCTAAACTGAAAAGTCGCTGCATGGACAAAATTATACATTTTGTTTACAGAATGCTCTAACACTCCATAAAATAACACAAGTTGTCGTCAAATGGCTATATTATTTCATCATTACACAATGGAACCAAATACACAATAATGCCTGTGCTGTATACTTTACATAGTTATAGTATGTGGCAAAAAATGGAAGCAAGTCAGAACATGAATTGTATTGTTTTTTCCAATATGATTATTCTACTAGATAACAAACTCTGCTGTATTCTGCACCTGCACTTTTCTTACACTTTTTTGAGATGCTCTGTTAAAATACTGTAGAAGAAAGTCTAAGAAAGTTTTCTTCGTTCTATTTAAGTCTTTCTGTGCCCATGAACTGTCATTGACATGTACGACCTACAGTACGCACCTAGACTAGACAAATCCATTCATTATGGTACAGCTTTAGTACTGCATTGGCTTCACCAAAGAAACAATAAATCTTTGTTACCCAGTACTCAGAAAAAAACATTTTTATTGTTGTGTATTGGCCTCTTTGATCTATGCTTGCAAATAGCAACACAGTATGTTTTATAGATGGATAAGGACTGATTGGAAGAACGTGTTAACCAATGAACAATTGTAATAGTAACTCATTCGTAATAGAAGACTTCTGCTGTGCTCCTACATTCATTAATAATGTCTTAGCAATCGAGAAAAATTACAGTTTTT